GGCTCTTGGCTGGCTGGCACGTTGATCTCAGAATTCCTGGGTGCGCGGCTCCTGGGTGTCCGTTTGATGTCTGGTTTCTGGATGTCTGGCGCTGGGTGGCTGGTTCCTCACGTCCAGCTCCTAGGTGTTTGACTCCTGGAGGTCCGAATCATTGACGTCCGGGTCCTCAAGGTCCGGCGCCTGGGTGGCCAACTCATTGATGTACACCTCCAGCTGTTTGACGCTGGGCCCCTGGATGGCCAGCTCCTGAGTGTTTGGCATTTCATGGACGTGGGTCTCGTGGATGTCTTACTCCTTGGTGTCGAACTGTGGGCCCAGGTCGACCAAGGCGCCGTACGTGCTGCGGACCGCGTAGTTCTGCACGCGCCTGTGTGGGTCAAGGCCGCTTGCAGTGGGGATCGATCGGGCCTCTATGGCCACGTGCTGTTGTTGTTGCTGCATTCCGCGTAGCCCCAGGAATGATTATCCGGGACCGCTGCTCGCGCCACCGCCGCGCCGCTCGCCTCCGCGTGGGTTTCGCCACGAATCGGCACGAACTCGTCGGCGTCCGGGCGCAATCGACTGCCGCCGTGGCCCATCCGAGGGCCAGCGGCGGCCCAGGCGACGCCGCTTGCGGAAACGGCCGCGACACGCCCTCGCATGGGCCTCAGCGGCGTGCCGTGCTGAGTTTCGCCGCCGCCTCGCGTCGCCCAGCCCTCGGCGTCGGGCTGCGAGGCACTGGAGCGCCAAACGCGACGCGGCCTCACGGTCCCACCCAGACCCAGGCGCATGGTCGGTGCTGCTGAGGGCCCTGCGAATAACCGCCTCGCATTCCGGCTGGCAGCGCCGTCGGGCCGCCCGCCGGGCCGCTAAGGTTCCGCGTGTCCAGGCCTAGCGCGCCCGGGTTGCGATGGGCCGCCACATCGGCTGGCAAACGTCCCGCAATCCCCATGCCCTCAAGCAGCGACGCGCGCACTTCCAATAGTTGCGGTTTGGGCGGGCGTGCTGGCTTAGGTGGTTTGAACAGCAGGGGTGTTGCCCGCTGGTGAACGGATTGAACCAAGATTGATACGGATTCCTCTTCCCTTCCTCCTCCTCCTCTTCCTCCTCCTCCTCCTTTTCCTCCTCCTCCTCCTCCTCCTCCTCTTCCTTCTCCTCTTCTTCCTCCTCCTCCTCATCCTCCTCCTGTTCTTCCCTCCTCCTCCGCCTCCGCCTTTTCCTTGTCTCCCACCCCCCCTCGTACACCTGCGCCTCTTTTGGAAGGAAGAAACAACATCAACACGAACTGTTCGAGGACCGCTCGGATCCAAGAAATCTGTGCAGGTCTCGTCGTCGTGATCGTCGTTGCCTCCTTCGCCCCTTCTTCCACGCGGGGGCGCGCGGCGGGCGGCGCGACGGCGGCGGGCAGGCGGGCGCCGCGGGCTCGGCACGAGCGGGGCGCCGCGGCGGGGCAAGACAAAAGGAGGTGGGGGGAAACCTCGCCGGCTGGAGCGATGGAAGCGGAAGAGCGAGGGAAGAGAGGGAACGAGGAAGGATGGAGACGGGGGGGAGGAGGATATGGGGGGGAACGAGGATAGAGGGGAAGGGGAGGGAAGGAACGATAACATTGAAAACGGTATTGTGAGCCGTGCCATACGTTACGCCTTAAGCGTAGTATACGAACGAACGAACGAACCGCCACCATCGCGCCGCAGCGCGTCCCCGGGGGGATGGGCGGAATGGGCCGCAGCCCTCAGAAATCGGAGCTCTCAAGGTATTCTCTCATGTACCAGAACAGTAGCTGCTCCCCATTGCTTGCCATTGCTTTGCCGTAAATGACGAGATCACTGTGTATATGTTACTGTTATATGATTATGTGCCGTTGCTCTTGAGATAGCTGATGATATCGTCTGTCCACCGCTTCTTCGGTCCATGGGGTGCTCGTCTGGCACGAATGTCGTCTTCGGGCATCCAGTGCGCTGCTTTCCATGTCCATATCCTGCTGTCTGCCGCTGCCACTCTGTATGCAAGTTTTCACACCCAGCGCGTCCAAGACGAGCACCAATCGTTGCTCTTAACTAGAACTTGTTATGCTGTCCTCGTTGTGCGCTTCACCCACTCAAGCGTAGTATAGTAGACCATGACTTCTCCATATTGTGCGTATGGGTAAGTAGACAAGAGAAAAGACAGCGCATCGTCGAAGGATGTGGGCGTCTCTATTGTCCGCTGCTCGGATGCGATAGAGCCCCACAAATGAGGCAGTCAAATTGGGCGACGTCGCTTGAGCCCAAGCGGCGTCGGGACGCAAACCCGTTGCTCGCATCTCGCCTTCGACATCCGTTCACAGTCAGGACAGGGAAGTCGCCGCGACAAGCTACATGGCAGCTAGCATGACGTAGCAGCAGTAGGTCAACAAAAAACAGCGGGCAACCCTTTCTGCGTTGGCAAGAAGGTATCCGAAAGTCAAATGCCTATTGCTGCGGAGGGGGCCCGCCGTACCATCATCACCATAGGCCGGCTCAGAAATATTTGCAGAAGGGGCGCAGCCACCGCCCGGAGCAAGCAGTGGGCCCATCTGAAAAGCAATGGCGGTGGGTATCCGACGAAACCTTCGGACACCAAAATTCGTTATGCAAGACAAGAGCCCGTGACCACGCAACGGCAAGCGAGTGGTCCCCACGCCTGTGCTCATACCGTAACTGCGGGCTGGTTGTGAGCCAGGCTCAGAAGCAGTTGCCCGCTCTCCTCTGTAGGAATGTACCCGTTTCACATCAGTCTTGAATGACCGAATACTTCCCATCGCTTGTAGGAGTAATTCACGGTCGATGCCTCTTTTGGTGTGCCCATCGGCCGTCATGTCCTGTGTGTCACACCACTGCACGCTGTACGCGATACCTGTCACCATCAGCTGCCGAGTCCAACGGATGCGACCCAGTCGGGTGCAACCAGTGGGCTCCTTCACGTCCTGACTAGATAAAGCCTTCAAGACCGATTCGACGTCAATGGTGAGTGGCGGGGGAGTGAAGGACGGGGGAGGAGGAGCAGGAGGGGGAGAGGGAACGGAGAGCGGAGGAAAACGGATGGAGGAGGCGGACAGAAGAACGATGCAATCAGAAATAAGGAGCAGAACGGAGGGAGGAAGGAGGAGCTTGGTTTGGCTTGGCCTGCCCCTGAATGCGATTCAGACAAACCCACCGTGAGCGCGTCCGCGAGACGACCCATCACGGCGGCGACGAGGAGCCCCACAGCACCCCGAAAGCCAAGCTGCCCGAGCACCAGCCCCCCCGAGGAAAGAGGCCACAGCCACCCGCCACCCCGCGGGGACGAGAGCCCCGGCAGCCGCCACGGGCCGCCCCGCACGCGCCCCCGAACGGGCAGGCGGGCCCGAGTTGTTCGAGCCGAGCCCAGCGCCTCGGCCGCCGCGCCCCTGCCGTCCGCTGGACCTCCGCCCTTCGGCGAAGCCAAGCCAGAGAGTCGAGGGCTCACAGAGGGGCATTCGCGGCGCTCGAAGCACCAGCGCCTGCAGCCCCGATCGCGCTCCCGAAGAAGAAGAGGAGCGTCTTCTCGACCTCCCCCCCGCGGGCCTTCTGGTCCGTGGGCTGCTGGCTTAGCTGCGCGATGGCATGGCGCGCAGCCGCTAGCTGTGACTCGATCATCCCAGCCGCGGCGTAGAGCTGTGTCGAGCCTTCCCTTTCGGTCGGTCGCCAAACTACGACTCGAGCCAGGCGACCGTGTCCTTCCTGCTCTGCAGCCGCTCTGCCTGCGACGTGTTGCACGTGGTGAGGCAGTAATTCGCAAGGCCGTACTTCGCCTGAAGGTCTCACCCATGACGCTCAAACAGGCAGGATGTTGCGGTCTGTGTAGCAGTAGTTCGCAAAGCAGTACTTCGCCTCGAAGCGGTCCTCGCGAAAACAGCTGCCAAACACCATCAGAGGAAAACGGATTGGCGATGTCCGCCAGCTCCTTCCGCTTTCCCTTGCAACCTGCGGCATCAGCCGCCTTGGCCGCGCCGAGCCAGTGAAGGGTGTTCTGCACCGCCTCCTCGGTCTTCTCCTTGTCCTCGTGCTCGTACTGGTCCTGCAGCTTCTCCTCCTGCATGGCCTTGCGGATGAAGAAGCACAAATCCATGAGGCCGTACCTCGCAATGAAGGCGTCCTCCGGCGTGGACTGAAACTTCTCCACGTTCCCGGTCTGCGGCAAGGACGGCTCGACCATCTTGACCTCGGCCTTCGCGCCAACGCTGGTTTCGGACACGCCGTGGTGGCCGACCGTGTCGCTGGCGTCCACGGAGATCTCCGACCTGCCCACCACCTTCTTGACTCAGGCCGTAATGTCGCCACCGATCCGCGCCGCCGCGCCAGGGTGGCGCAGGAGGGCGGCAGCGGCGTCAATGCTCCCGGCATCGCGCAGCATGTGGCCGGGCAGGCGCCCGCCACGGGCGCGGAGGCCCTGCAGCCCCTTGGCCACTGTCTCGCCTCCGAGGGCTGCCGCGATGGCAGACGCAGCGAGCGCGACCTCAGCGGCCTCCCCTCCTCCGATCATCGCACGGCCGCCGCTACGCGCTCCCAGCGCAGCGCGGCCGCCGCCTTCCGTGGCGCGTAGCAGCTGTGCCGCTGCCGCCTCGACTTGCCCCGACGAGCAGTGTGCGACAACGGAGCCCACACGCACAGCGACGGAGCTCTTGCCCCCTGAGGCCATCAGCCGCACCGCGCGCCGCGGGGCGCCGCGAGAGGGCCGCGGGGGCGCGAAAGCCGCTTGAGCCAGAATGGCTACCGAGCAGGAGCAGGAGCAGGAGCAGGAGGAAGAGGAGGAGGAGGAGGAGGAGGAGGAGGAGGAGGAGGAGGAGGAGCAGGAGGAAGAGAGGGGGAGAAGGAGGTGGGAGACGGGGGGAGCGGAAGAGGGCGAAATAGAAGGGAGATGAATGAGGAGAGGAGTGGAGAGCGTGAGGACCCCCGCGCACGCTCCAGCCCTACGGGCGCTCCCACCGTGCCCCCCCCCCCCACGGGCGCCCAAGGCATCGACTCCAGTCGAGTCTTCTACTCTCAGCGGGTTGCTGGCGTCGTTCTCCTTGGGCGGGGGGCAGCGGCGAATGGTTCGGTGAGGTTGGAAGGAATGAAAAGGAACAGGCCGAGGAAGGGGGAGTAAGAGGCAGAGCGGGAGTTGCAACCTCGAGCTGAAAGACAAGCAACACTGCCTCTCATACCCCACCTGAGGAGGGCATCCTCCAGAAGCCCTCGCAGCAACTCGGTATCCACTGGGAGCCGATGAGAAAGCCGAACACATTGTCAGCATCAGCGTCACCTCATCTTCATAATCACCATCACCATAAACAAACTTTACATCGCGATCATCATCACCATCAGCATCATCAGTTTCGCAATCATCAGCATCAACATCATCATCATCATCATCATCATCAGCATCATCATCCTCATCGCCATCCTGGCTCTTTTGTTCCTCCCCCTCCAATCCCTCTGCTTCCCACTCCCTGGCTAACGAGGGCCGAGCGCTCCTTGGTCTTGGAGTCCGCCAGCTCGACGAAGTCCTCGTCGTCGTCCTCGTCGTAGTCCGCGGGCCCCCGCAGCGGGCTCAGGCTCGCCCCCCCCGCCCCAGGAGAACGCCACGTATCCCACTCGCCGCCCTCCTTCTCCTCGTGGCCCTCACATTTCTCCTCGCCCTTCTCCTCCTCGTCCTGCGCATCATCGCCCCCCTCCTCTTCGTCCTCCAAACCATTCCTCTCGGCCAGGGGATCCCGACCTTTGACTGCGAACTTCGGAGTGACCATGCCGTCAAGAGCCATGAAATCACATAAAGACTGACGTCCCTCGTCCGCCTTCTGGTCCTCCCCATCCCCCTTCCCTTCACCCTTGTGCACCACCTTCATCAATGTCCTGATGCTCGCCCCCCCAGATCGATTACGTACCAAGCGCCGTGTGCTAAGGTCCGCGCATGTGTATGCGAGCGCGGACAGACAGCAATGCAATCGGTCGCTTGCGAGTGCGGATCGGTACCTAGGGCAGTTCCCCCCGCGGCCGCCATGCAATCTCCAATGCGCATTCGTTGAGTTACAGGTGGCGCTGGTGCCAAATCGCCGCATCTACTTCATACTCTTGAGTTCAGCTCCTACGATTTCTGGATAGAAAACATGTCCTGATCAGCCCGCGACGGCGGTAATCACACTGCCCATGTTGTTCAGGTGTGTCCCCCACCATGGCCAATGACTGGTGCCCTGAGGCCGTCCACCGCGGCCAGTAAACAGCGGTGACCAATATGCTGATGGTGACGCGAGTCTGCTGCATGATCAACAGCCTCACGGCCATCGCGGAGGATTTCTCCCGCATCGACCACGGGTTCGACTTTGCTTGCCCAACGCACACATTCGCGCACTGGTCCATGGCCCCGGTGTGAACGAAGGCTCCTAAGCCGAGAAAGGTTATCTGGAAACACGGCACCGCGAGCGCCGAGGGCGTTGTGAGAAGGAAGGCCGCGCGACGAGTTCTGAAAGGCTGTCTCGACCAATCTCTCCTCCTGACCGTTGCCGCCGCTCTCCCCCCAACCATTCCTCAGGGTCCCTCCTGGCGCGCTGCTGACCACCAACGGCGACCGCCAGGGCAACGCGCCCTCCACTTCAACATGCGCCCTACCCCCCCCCACGGAAGCGCACAGCCCCTCTGTTATCCTTCCTGCCTCGAAGGGGCAGCCGGGCGCAGTGTGAACCAGAGCACAGGCGCTCGTCTCATGCCAGCACCCCACCACTCCCAAGCTCTCTTCCGCCCTCCTCTCCCCTCCCTCTTGGCCCGCTAGCGCGCGGATTATGCATTGCCTCCTTGCTCGGCTTCCATAGTGGCGTTCCCTACTCCGCTGACTATCCCGTGCTATTCGTTATCCCTGTGCTTGCAAGGATGGGGGCATGCCGCGCAGTCATTCGAAGACGCCGCACTGCCTTTCTGGACGTTCGACGACGACGACGACATCATCGTCATTATCACTCGGCCGTCGGGGCGACGCCGAAGTCCTTGCCGCATGTGTCGCACGAGATATGAGGGCTTGCCTGCGCGAGCAGGCGCAGACGGGGCCTGAAACGGGCGGCGGCACAGACACTCGGACCCAGCTGAAACTGAGCAAAACGGGGCAGCAGGCGGGCTCGGGGCAACTCCGGCATCGTCGACAGAGCAAGGGAAGAGGTAGCCGACAGAGGCGCAAGATCTCCCCACCCCGAGTCGATCCATGTACTCAAGGTTCAGTATCCGCTGTTTTCTTCAATCTACATATTATAAAGTGAGTTCAGAAGAGAGAACAGCACACTGCCGAAAGCTCAGGAGCACCCAGTTGTCATTCGGGTCGTTCTTCCCTTTGCTTAGGGCGCTCACCGCGTCCTCCGAAATATTGATGTCGCCACCTAAGCCAGTCAAATCCTGATGCCTTCCAATCTTCAGGGTCCAGGGCCCGAGATTTCCAGTCAGTGCCATAAAACTGATAGAATTGTTTTCCCACCTCCAAACGTGAAACGAAGAATGGCGGCACTGGTTTCCCTAAGTCCTTTCTAGACATTGACGTTTACCAGAGTCTTTACACCTTAAAGCGAGTGAGACAAGTACATTCGGGTCATAGGTCTGCATCCTGGCGGTGTGGCCCGCCAAACGCTGACCGAACAGGAAGACGCAATCGCCCCCGGAAACTATGTTATGTCGCTCACACAGCCTACTGATCAGTCGGTGTAGTCTCTGCATATAGGATCGCATCGACTCGTCATCGCCCTTGCGGAGGCTAGCCCCCTAAACAGCGAAAGGCGGCGCGTCGAACAACTGGGTCCAGAACCCAGAGGAGATTGCCGAGATTCGCCTTCCCGTTGCAAAGTATGGCGTTGTGGTTAGCCCAGGCAGCCCAGGCCTTGCGAGTTGCATGACGCACGGCAGCAGTAGCTGAGTTGTCGAGCGCGACCCACGCACCTAGATGGCGAAAACAACGTGATCGAGACCTCATCGGAACATGGCCTTCAGCAGTACCCCTTGAGGCTGCAGAGTCCGCTGCCGCGGTGGCCCAGTGCTGTCTCGGAGCTGCACTACGCGAGGACTTCCTCAAAATTCGACGCCGCGCGCCCCGCGCGGCGCTGGGCAGCTGAGGAGAGGCGGCGCACAGGTAAACGTTGTCCGCGGAGACCAGGAGTTCCATCTCTTGTTCGGTTGCCCCAAGATCGTCGAGCCCTCGGGTTCCAAAGGGCGCGCCAGCCGTTTGCTATACAGACCTCGTAAAACTCATCGATGGGATCGTCCAAGGAAATGCTGCAGCGCCGGCCGCTGCTCTCTGCCGCAGCGCTCGCAGGTGTGCCGGCGGGCCGCGCGCCAAGGGGTGCCAGTCTTCGGGTGCTGCGAGGAGGAGGAGGGGGAGGAGGAGGAGGAGGAGGAGGAGGAGGAGGAGGAGGAGGAGGAGGAGGAGGAGGAGGAGGAGGAGGAGAAAAACTGGGTGCCCCGGGATCTCTCCGCGGCAATTGCTTCGCGAAGGCCCCCCCCTTCCCCGGCGCGAACGGGTCAACGCGCTCCTCTGCGTGCTCGGCCAGAAGTCCAATCGTCGATGCGACCGCACGTGCCGGAAAGCCACGGCGAAGCGCAAACTGCAGGCGAGAAAAAGGGGCTCGCTGCTGAGATCGACGCGCTCAATCAGACACACGGGGTGCAACTTCAGCAGGCAAGAGCGCAACGCAATAGGCCTGAAGTTGGCCACGCGGCGCGCGCAGTATCATTTCGCCACCAAACTCACTGTCTCCACAAGGTCCAGTCCTGGGGTCCGCTCGGATGGTCACGGGCGCGAAGGACGTAGAGTTCGGCCAGAGGGTCTAAGGTTCCCTCGCTGAGGTCCCGGGGCATGTTCATCGCGACGCAGTCGCCCCTGGAGCATGTTGTACTTGGCGTGAGACTGGAAAAAACATGTCCTAACCAGCTGCGAATCTAGCTTCTTCGGCAAGCATTTCAAACGCACCGGAGCCCACAGATGCGAGACCCACTTCCGCAGCGTCGCGCTCTCAGGGTCCTTGAACAAGTTCTCGCAGAACGTCGCGACCTCCCCCCATCGTCTCATCCTCATCCGTCACCTAGGTCCCGTTCCCATCTTGGTCACCTTCACCCTTCTCTGCGCTCTCCTACTATTGACAGGGTAGTCGGCGCGCAAGTCTAGATCGAGAAAAGACGGCTGGCGCGACCATTCCACGAACTGGAGGCTGAGCAAATGCTCGACAGCTGGGCCCTGCTCGACCTCGCGTGCATCGTGGAAAGCGCGTATCCTGCGACTCAATGGGCGCTCCTGCGATATCTCAAGACGTCTGGGGAAAGAACTCTTGCCGCGCGCGGTAGCCGCGTCGCCCGCCATGGAAGCGCAGGGCCCCAAGGGCGGCAGGGGATGCTCTTGTCGGCCCCGACGTGAGACCCTAGGATCGGGAGGTGGAGCGCCCTTTGCGTTGCTGGTAGGCGGAATGTACTTCAGCTTGCGGGGCTCGTCTAATTAAGAGTTCAGACCGCGCGATCTCAAGGAGCAGAGAAATGCGCCCAGACTGGTCGTGCAAGAGAAAAATCTGCAACTCGTCGTTTGGGAAGGCCGCCGAGGCCGCGTGCCCGGGGAACACCGCGGCGCCCGAAATAGGCGTCGCACGTGGGCGCGCGCTGCGCCACCTAGCCGACCTCGGGGGTTTCCGGGCATCTCCCCCGCCGACCTCTGCCAGCCGATCCGCCGACATGTTTCCCCGGTTCGGGGGCGCCCCTTGATCCGACAATAAAGTGCCGAATGCTCTTTCTCAACCAGAGACCGCGCGCGGCAGGCCAGGAAGGATAAAGTAGCGTTTTGCTTCCGGCCTGAACTTGTGCCCCGAGATCCCCATGGCGCAGGTGAAGCCGAAAACTATCTCCAGAGGCTCGCCCCTCGGGATGATGCCCTCGCCCAACGGCAGGTTCAGCCCGAGATGCCGCGGGCCCATCTCGAGCGCGCCCGCCAATTCCGCTGCGGCGCTAGCACGCCTGAGTCCACTGGCGCAACCCAGCTGACCAAGATCTGGACAGACAGAGCTACAACTACGGAAAACAAGAACGACTCGGGTCCCAGGGGCCCTCGAGTTACGCGGGGGCCCATGGGGGCCTTGGGGAAGGGCGAAACCCGAGCCGCAAGAGGCGTGGGCACGGCTATAATTCTTTGAATGCCCGTCGCTGCACAGGCGAAAACGCACGTCGCCGAGGCTGCGTTTCGACTAAAATTGACGCTGACTTAGAAGAACGTGCAATATTCGGCGCAAAGAGCGGGCGTGGTCGCCGAATGGCGAGGAAGCGAAGCACGAGCAGACGGCGGTCGCTCTCCCAAGCTGGGCAATGACGCGGCTGGCAATCATGGTATCGGCGAGCAAGTTCTCGCCCGCGCCAATGAAATTTTTCTGTCGGGGCTCGCACTCGCCACCCCGGAAGCAAATGCATCTGCCCGCCAGAGGCTCGCTCCACGCGTTGCCCAGAGCGAGGTCATGGCAAACGATCGTCTCCCTGAAGGCGCTGGACTTCCAGGAGGTCGCGCCGGCAGCGAAAG